GTATGCATCCGATGAAGTGAGCTGTAGCTCACGAAAGCTTATGCTAAATAAATTGGTTAGTCTCTAAGGTTCCACAAGTACTCCTTTTCTTTTTCCAAAATAAGTGAGCACTTTTGATCTTAATCTCTTTGTGCCTCACTTCCCCATTTGAAAAAGTGGGATCATACCCACTTGTGAGGCCTGTGAAAATGAATGTATTAATAGTTGTGAAGCACTTAGAAGGAAGTGCATAAAAAAAGCCCCAGAGGAAATTTTAAAAATCTGTTTTGTGAGCAGATTTGAATAGTTTGCAGTAAATAAGGCCTGGAGTCACGTACTGAACGATGTGGAGAAAACAAAACCTTGAATTAATAAGTGAGCTCTGTCCAATAGCACTGAATGAGGCAGCTTCCTGCTGAAAAAATAGTATGTGATCATGGAACATAATACATATGTACAAGGGGGCTGAATTAAAGCTGCATAGAGGAAGGGCTGGTGAGTTGCACAAGCAATCTTAATTCTGGTCTTTTCTGACTACAGAGTACTTGACTTTGCAATGTTAAGAATGTTCTTATAGTGTTTTGGGTGTGTTCTTTGTTTTTGTAATTACAAACCATTAGTTCTTATGAACTGGCCTCCTCCTTGCTCAGGCACAGAGGAGAGAACAAGAACTGAAACATACTTGCTTTGTGTCAGTCTCCACACCAGAAACAAGTGAGAGTAAGAAAGTTTCTCAAAGCATAAGTAATTCTCCTCTTTAAAGGGGAAGAAGAAAAAGTGTGCTTAACCTTAGACGTGAAAAGGGTAGTGAGAAAGCAGCCTGTGACTGAGTCACAAATGGACAATAAACCCACATAGGCTCATTGGGTAAAATAGCAAGTACCTTCATAGAGCCCTCTGCTAGACCTTGTCCACATTAGAATTTACTTTGGTATAATTTACATCGCTCATCAGGGATGTGAATAATCCACACACCCCTGATTGGCCTAAGCACCAATTTTGATCAGTGGAAGAGCTTCTAGTGAAGATGTAACCTGAGATGTACATAGAACATCTTGTTCTGACTTACTTGCTCTGCAACCACTCTGGTCATTGGTTCCAGGGAGTGTAACTCAGGGCAAGATTTAGCCTGTTGTCTGTCTTAACTTTGGTGACATCAGTACAGTTTCTCGTCAAAAAGGATTTTAAACTTAAACTGGGCACCTCCTCTCTTCCCCAGTGGTGGATAGCTCCAGGGCACTGAACTGAATGAGTCTCACTGAATGAGTCTCACTGGCATGGGGCAGTGTGGGCCGGGCTGGTTGCGTGCCAATCCCTAGATGCTGGTCTTAGCCCCAGAGGTGGTGTAGCTGCATTTCAATCCTGCGTGTAGTGAGGCCTGTCTAGTTCTATTATTATTCAGTTTTTTCAGCTCTTCCAAGGGCACCCCTCCCTAGCGCTGAGTGCCCACTCTCTACATGAAGAGTTACAACACAGACAGCTAAGGCCTTGTCTACACTTGCAAGTTAGAGCGCATTAAATCAGCCCTGGGTGACCTAACTCCTAGGTGTCCACACTGGCAAGGCACGTAGAGCGCCCGGACTCCACAGCTGAAGCATCCCTGGTAATCCATCTCCATGAGAAGCATAAAGCTTGCTGTGCCCCAGCTGGAGCGCCGTGGGACCAGTATGGATGCCTTGGTCTATTAATGCACTCTGATCGGCCTCCAGAAGTGTCCCACAATGCCTGTTCTAGCCACTCTGGTCATCACTTTGAACTCAACTGCCCGGCCCTCAGGTGACCAACTGTCAGACCCGCCCTTTAAATTCTCTGGGAATGCCTTCCTGTTTGCTCAGCCAGGCGTGTAGTGCTCTCAGCGCATCTTTCCAGGTGACCATGCCTCCACGCGCCAGGCGATCCCCAGTATGGAGCAATGGAAAGGTGCTGAACCTCATCAGTATTTGCAGGGAGGAAGCTGTCCAGTCCCAGCTGCACTCCAGCAGTAGGAAATATGATACCTACAGGCAGATATCAAGGGCCATGATGGAAGGAGGCCATGACCGGGACGCAGTGCAGTGCAGTGTTATAGTGAAGGAGCTGCAGAATGCCTACCACAAAGCGTGGGAGGCAAACTGCTGCTCCGGTGCCGCCCCCACGACCTGCCGTTTCTACAAAGAGCTGGATGCAATACTTGGGGGCAACCTCACCTCCATTCCGAAGACCACCATGGACACCTCAGAGGCCGCAGCAACCCACAGTTCAACAAAGCAGTAGGAGGAAAGCAGGAGCAAGGGTGCTGAGGAGGAGGGGAGCCCAGAGCCAGAGGACAGCCCGGCATTCCTAGATACATACAGCCAGGAGCTGTTTTCAAGCCAGGAGGAAGGTAGTCAGTTGCAGCGGATGGTGCTTGGGGAAGAACAAACAGCAGAGGAGGTGCCCGGTAAGCGGCTTTTATTTTGGGAAGGTAGTTTTTTGGTGTGGGCTCTTGGGGTGAGGAGGGTTAGGGCTGCATGCATATCTAGATGCAGAATAGGGCGTTGATGTGCTCTCTCACATCGCGGTAATCGGCCTCAGTGATCTCATCAAAGGTCTTATGCAGAAGCTGGGCAATCTGCTTGTGCAGGTTCCTTGGCAGTGCTACTGTGTTCCTTGTCCCAAGTAAGGCTAACATGTCTGTGCCACTGTGCCGTGAGGGGACCATTGCTGCACACAGGCAAGCGGCATAAGGGCCAGGGCGGAAGCCGCATTGTAGTAGAAGACCCTCCCTTGCTCCCCAGGTCACCCTCAGCAGCGAGATATCTTCCAGGTTGAACTCATCCTGTGGAAAATGTGGGGACAGTGTTCAGTATAGGGGCCCCCTGCAGCTGTTGGCTCTCCCCAAGGCACAGAACCCCAGAGGACAGTACGGCCGTGAAACAATCAGTCCTCCTTGCCCCTCTGTTTACTCACCATTTCGGGTCTCCTGTGGGTTATGTGCGCTCGCTTTGGGACGGGCACTTTCTGCTATTGTGTACACTGTACTTGTCTTTAAGTTCAGCCGAATCATTTCTCTGTCTGGTGTGAACAAGGCAGCTCTCAATCTTGTGTCCTTGCGCCACAGGGTAGGGGTGAGCTCAGCACACGGTCCCATAAAGTGGCTTTCCTCATCCAAAAGTTCTGCAGCCACTGCTCGTCATCCCAGACTTGCATGACGATGTGATCCCACCACTCAGTGCTTGTTTCCCGAGCCCAAACGTGGCGTTCCACTGTGGTGAGCATGTCCATGAATGCCACAAGCAATCTTGTGTCATATGCGTTATATGAGTCGACATCATCGTCGGACTCCTCACTGTGAGTTTGTAGCTTAAGGAGTAACTCAACTGCAATCCGTGCTGGCAATACCCATCAGCATATTCCTCACAAGTTCAGGATCCATTCCCATAGACCGAAAGGAAAGACAGAGCGCTCAATACAAAAAACGTTGAAAGATGGTGCTAAATATGGATGGAAGCACAGGGATTGCTGGGATGCGAAGCGATGCATTAGGACAGGACCCAGAATGCTCTCCCCTCTGCCACCCCCTTCATAGAATCATAGAATATCAGGGTTGGAAAGGACCTCAGGGGGGTCATCTAGTCCAACCCCCTGCTCAAAGCAGGACCAATCCCCAATTTTTGCCCCAGATCCCTCAATGGCCCCCTCAAGGATTGAACTCACAACCCTGGGTTTAAGCAGCCAACGCTCAAACCACTGAGCTATCCCTCCCCACAAGCCACAGCACCAGAATGAGAAAAGGTGTTCTGAGGGATAGCTGCCCATAATGCACCACTCCCAATGCTGCTGCAAGTGCCACAAATGTGGCCACCCCACTGTGCTTGCAGCTGACAGTGTAAACACACGGCAGCGCTTTCCCTTCTGCGGTCTCCGAATGCTGGTTTAACTCAAAGCGCTCTACATCTGCAAATGTAGCCATGCCCTAAGGCTATTTCATTGCCTTGCTCCAATCAGGCCACCTACTCCCCCATCACTAGAGTGTCTGCAGCTAATGGACATCAGAGATCACAGCCTTGTGGGCCAGCTCCGTGCCCTGGTCAGGATTGCCAGGTGTCCGGTTTTCGACTGAAATACCCGGTCGAAAAGGAACCTTGGCAGCTCTGGTCAGCGATGCTGAGCAGCCCATTAAAAGTCTGGTTGGCAGTGCAACAGGGCTGGCAGGCAAGCTCCCTGCCCAGCTCTCAGGAAGCAGCGACACATCCCTCTGGCTCCACATACTGCCCCCACCCCAAGTCCTGGCTCCGCAGTTTTCATTGGCCAGGAACCACAGGTGCAGCACAGGGAGCCTCCCTGGCCGCCCCTTCGCCTAGGAGCCGTACGGCCTAATCACGGCTTCCCCAGAGCCATAGAATCATAGAATATCAGGGTTGGAAGGGACCTCAGGAGGTCATCTAGTCCAACCCTCTGCTCAAAGCAGGACCAATCCCCAATTTTTGCCCCAGATCCCTAAATGGCCCCTCAAGGATTGAACTCACAACCCTGGGTTTAGCAGGCCAATACTCAAACCACTGAGCTATCCCTCCCCCCCAGCCACCATCTCAGGTCAGCGCTGCCTGGAACCTGCATCCCCAAGCCCCCTCCCACACTCTGAACCCCTCAGCCGCAGCCCAGAGGCCCCTCCTGCACCCCAAACCCCTCAGCCCCGGCCCTGCCCCAGAGCCCCGCACCAGCCTGGTGAAAAAGGAGCCAGTGAGTGAGGTGAAGAGGGAGTGACAGAGGGAGGGGGATGGAGTGAGGGGGCGGCCACAGCCTCCGACAAGGGGCGGGGCATGGGGCCGGAAGGACAGGCCACGCGGCGCCACAGGGCTCGTAAGGGCCGCCCAGCTCCCGAGCTGTTCCTTCTGGAGCCAATCCCCACCAGACACTCCGTCCCAACAGCCAACCCCAGCTCTCCCCGCCGCCGCTCTTGGCCACGTGGCCCGCGGCCTGTTTCATGCTGTCTCTAATTCCGAACCCGCCATTGATTTTTAAAATTTCACCAGTCACGAGGCGGCAGGTGTGTGCCGCGCGGGGGCAGTCCAAAAGAAGCAGCGGACACCGTGGCCAATCAGCGGGTAGGGCGGGGCAGGCGGGGCGCACCTGGCCGGAATCGCTCGGTGATTGGCGGCTGGTTCGACGAGGCGAAGCCAATGAGGAGCGGGGACAAGCTGGGCGAACCTGGTAGGGGCGGGGCGGGAGCTGCTACGCCAACTGCGTATGGGGTTGCGAGGGGGTGGGGCCTTCGCCGGCACCTGTGTCCACCCGTCCGGCGCCTTCCGCTGCTGACCCCGGCTGGCGGCTCCCCAGCGCCCATGGAGCCTGTGCAGGTGCCCGACGCCGACGCCTTCCGGGCCTTCCAGGCTCAGTGCGAGGCGGAGCGCGGCTGGCAGAGCAGGTACAGCCGGGAGGGCGTCGGGGTGTGGGTGCAGCCGCCCGCGCCCGCCGGCCCCGCCGTGCACACGGTCAAGGTGAGCCGGGGGAGGCAGGAGGCCAGGCCAGGGCAGGGGACGCGGGGTGTGGGGGGCTGGGAGGGGGCAGGAGCCTGGCGGCCGCCTTGCACTCCTGGAGCTCCCCTGGGAGCGGCGCTCGCTGTGCGGTCTGCTGGTTGGCCTCACGCCCAGATGTGGCACGGCAGGCAGCTCCACCCACCGAGAGTTTGACTATTTATAGTCCTGACTCCTCCCTATCGCAAACTGAGGTCCACTGTACTCTGGGCCTGGACCCTAAAGCGGGGCGTCAGGGATCTTGTCACCTGGAGACAGAAACTGGGCACCAGAGGCGTTGCTGGGCTCCTGCCTGGGAAGGTGCTTGCCAGTGCCTGTGCCAGTTACTAGAGTAACTGATTAACTCTAAAATATGGTGGTAGAGCCCCATCTGTGCTAATTGTCACCATCTCTTATGGGCTTTGATGTCCCTTTTTCTTGGTATGCAATTCATGTGACCCTCGTCTTTGCCTTGTGACACATCTGCGACCCAGAGGCACTTGTCACTCCAGTGTCTGGGTGCCAGGAGTCTGATGTGAACGTCCCAAGAAAGTGATCAGTGAGTGGGATTAATTATTCTTCATATCCAGTAGTCTGCCCTGGTGATAACCTTCCCCACAGGAGTCTTCTCCGCTCATGTGGTATAGAACTACATAGTGAGTGGTGATGGAGTTGCACCAGCCTTGAGAGTGCAGTCTGAGTTATGCTTTCTCTGTAAATCATTGACTCATAATGACAAACACCACTGTAAGTGGGTGAAGCTTGGTAGAGGGTGATGGGATTAGAAGTAGAGGTGCAGCTTCTCTGAACCAGTAACAGGAAAGCCATTCTTTCTGGGATCTCCCAGACCTGCTATCTCCCCCATGAATTCTGGTCAACCACAAGCCACTGAGTGGGCCTACTGTGCATCTCCGCGCTGGAGTCATCTGTGTAAGATTGGACACCTCCACTTTCTGCCTGCTTGCTTCTATCTGGAGATTGGAACGTAGTGTCCAGCTCTGACTTGCTCTGCTCACATACTTCCCTTCTCCATTCTTCTGCACCAACAAGTGTGGTAGTATCTTACCTATGGAAGCCTGTGCCATCTGCTTCTTGTTCATGATTCTGGTTGCTCTGTGGACTGGGGTTTGTCTAGTTATGGGATAGAGCTTTTAACAGTGATCCGTTTACATTTCTGTTTCTGCTGAATGACTCAAGGGCAATAAATATTGTTATTTTGGAATGGATTCTCTGTCCTGATCCCTGTTTTTTATCTTAAGTGAGTTGCTTCCCTCTCTGTTCATCATTTACCCTCACAGTGGGTTGATATTTGCAAAGTGTTTTGAGTGGAGGGTTTCAGTGTTTAGTAAAGGGGTGGTGTTTGCCTGGCTGACCCACTCCCTCACAAGTGGGGGCCCAGCTGAGGATGAGGAGCTCTTCCCTACACATGGACCAAGTCAGCTGCTCCAATTGGGAGGACAGGGGTGGGGGCGGGGTGGGTGCAACCAGCCAGTGTCCTGACTGTGGTCCTGCTCCTGCTTGCAGTGCCGCATTGACATTCAAGATGTGCCAGCAGAGACGGTATATGATGTGCTGCATGACATTGAGTATCGCAGGAAGTGGGACATGAACGTCATTGACACACACGACATTGCCCGTCTTGCCGCCAATGCTGATGTGGGCTACTATGCCTGTGAGTGATGGCTTGGGGGCTGCTCTGATTGGCTGAGTGCGGCAGTAGGTGTGATCAACCCCAGAGAATTGAAATCCTGAGTTAAACAAGTGGAGGGCCCATCCAATTTCCTTGAGTAGGAAGGAGCAAAGACTGAGCCCATTCTGTATGCCCCGAATAGATACCATCTGGTCAGCAGTAGGGCAAGCTTCCCACACACCAACATGCCTCAGCCCAAGCTGGACTTTCTAATAGGAGAGGGGAGTTCAGTCCCCTGGGTTCATTTCATCCTTAGCAGCCTCAATAGAGATTCCAACAGAAGGGTCAGCTGGGCTCTTAGGAGATGAGGGGAGGCATTGGTGGCAGGATACAGAGAGATCACTAACCTCATCTGAGGGGCAAGTGCAGGCAAGGTAGAAACCCCTTAGTGTGGCTGCACTTCCTGCAACTCTTATCACTGGGTGAGTTGAAGTGACTTTGCTTCCTTCTTGGCTAGGGAAGTGTCCAAAGCCCTTAAAGAACAGAGATGTGGTGACACTGCGATCCTGGCAGGTTGTGGATAAATCTTACATGATCATCAACTTCTCTGTCAAACATGCGGTGAGTTGGGGGCGGGAAGAGTTTAATTACATGGACCCATGCTCTCCTGGGAATCTCAATAGTGCCTGCTTAGATGCCTCCTTGATGAATGACTCCGCCCCACAGCTACAGTCATGAGCTGGGTGGAGTTTGTCTGCGTTAAGGATGCTCTGTTGAGCAGAATGTGACTCTGGCTCTCATTAACCTGAGCTGCATTTATTTATCTGCCACCCCTCACTGATGCCTTAGAGCGTATGTAGCTAGTCCCTGTGTCCCTTTGGGTGTGCGGGGACCTTTTATTATTGTGGGATATGAATTCACAGCTAACTCTTTACAGACCAGGCACCGTGTCTGAGCCTCTAGATTAGTCCCATTGCCCTGTGTGTATAGCACCAGATCTTGGAAAGAGTTCAGGAAAGGTGACAGGGTCTGAGTGTCTGATTTCACCATACAGCAATATCCTCCCCGAAAGGACCTGGTAAGGACTGTTTCTATCTTGGCGGGATACTTGGTACAGTCGACTGGATCAAACAGCTGCACCTTGACTTACCTGGCTCAGGTGGACCCCAAAGGTAAGTCTGGGTCTGTATCCCTTGTGGGTGTGCAAGGGGATGAGGCAACTTCAGGTCTAGGTGAACAGAAATTCTACTCCCTTATATAGGACGTAAATTGCATTGCTTTCTTTCCACACACTTCCCTCCTAGGTATCCATCTAGGATCACTTTGCAACTTGCCATGGAGACGATCTTGCAGCTTGGCAATTGTACCCTGGTGAGGGGCTGAAGCATTGCGTGCGGTTGCATCCTGGCACAAATGCAGCATTTTTCTGCCATGGCTCGCTAATAATTCTGTTTCTCCACCTTTCTTTCTTATGCATTAGGGAAACTGCCAAAGTGGGTTGTGAATAAAGCTTCCCAGTACCTGGCACCAAGGGTGAGTGAAGGCACTCCTGTGTAGTGGGTAATAAGGATCAACCATCGTTCATGGTTAGAGGAAAGGGCTGGCAGTTAGTGGAGATCTACTAACTTGTCCTTAGACTTTCCAGCCCCTCTAACTTCCTAGTACAGGGCTGAGCAGTAGAAAGAATGGGGCATACTAGCTATCCTTGGATTTGATACTAGAATGTGCTGGCCTGGTTAGTCCAACATCTGACAATGACTGACCTCTGATACATCAGAGAGGTGAAAAACCTGTGCACAGTGCTTTGTCTTGGGGTCCCCAGCTTCTGACCAGCGGACTCTGCATTCTGAGGTTTGGCATCCTCTGAGCTCTTGGAGTAGTGGGGAAGGCACAGGTCAGGATTGCAGGGCATAACTGTGGGGGAACCTATTTGGCGTGAGGTGTAGTTGAGACACAAAATTGCAGCATGGGTCAGCATCCTGGGTTCTGTCCCCAGATCTGTCACTGGACTTGACCAAGGTGTCACAGTGACTTTTTGGCTCAGCCTCCATTTCCCCATCTGTAAAATGGGGATAATAGTTCTCTGCCTTCTAGAGGAGAAGCAGCTGAAACACGAGATCCTTAGATCTATTGAAGATGCTGATTGCTTATCCAAATGAATGGAAAATGCTCCTGTATGGAACTTTACAGTATTAGTCTGTCCATCCATGCACTCAGGTCTCCCCCCCTCGCCCCACCTGTCTCTGCTAACTGCATAGCACCCACCCTTTCCCAAGCATTAAGTACATAAGAAAATGCAGGGGGTCTGGTAGTGGTCAGATTCTAGGCTGCTTCCATTTTCTTGGTCCCCTTTTCTGCTTTTGTCAGATGCTGAAGAAGATGCATAAGGCCTGCTTGAAATACCCCTCCTGGAAACAGCAGCACAATGTCAGTGTGAAGCCCTGGCTGTACCCTGAGCAGAACAAGCTCCCCACCATGATGCTGTCAGACCTGGCACTCCAGCATGCTGCCTCTCTGGAGAACATTGACGAGAGCAGCCTGTCGGAGGTGAAGGATGAGAGGGGAGACCACAGTGGCTCTGAGAACTGATGCTGCTTGGCTCTTTTCCAGGAGCAACACTGCACTAGACTGTTTTTGGACTCTTCCTGACAGTTTTACATTAAAGGGGGGAAATGTATTTTTATGCCCAGGGTTTGTAGTTCTTCCTATCGTGACCCAAGAGACCATGTTTAGGCCTCAGGCACAGAGGGGTGTCTGTGGACAGTGACTGAGTGGGGAGCTTACAGTGCCTGGGGCCCATTGTGCTGACACAGCTATCGCAGTGAGCAGGGTAAATCTTGAGAAATTATCAGACATCTGATCGGATGGTATGAATTGCTTCTGCTTGATGATCCTTTCTGTCCTTTGACCAAGATCTGTTGCTTCATACGAAGGTAAAGATATCCATAATGCATCTGGCCAACTGTGCTGTGCTGCCTCTTGGTGGGACTTGGTCCCTGAAGTGCTCATGCTGCCCCAGTCTGAGAGTTTTTGCCTGTGTATTCTGAGAGCCATTAAGAACTGGACAGCATTAGACCAAGTACCCTCCTACAGAAACGGGCAGCAGGAGTGAGTTTGGGGTGGACAGACATGCCTACTTCCTGGGGCACTTCTGGGGAGAGAGGATAAATGTGTTTGCCTGTTCAGAGTTCATGTGATGCTACCTGTCAGAGCTGAGGAATTCATCTCCAGTGCAGGAGGGAGGCGTGTGCCCCAGAAAGGCCTTGAAGACTGACCCAAGTTTATTGCTGCTGTAACTTGGGATGTCACCCTGTTGCCCCAAGGCTGAACTTGACCCTAGCAAAGCAGGCTTGTATTGAATGGGGTGATGTGATAGGTAGCTGCAGCAGTGAAGCTGGAAAGGGATAGATGCAAATAAGCCTCAGGGAAGCAGGTTGGCTTTGTTGTCAAGGTGACAGGAAATGGTGGTGAGAACTGGGCTGCCAAATGATTAAAAAAATTTACGATTAATCATGAGATTAAAAAGTCTTGATTAATGGCAGTTTTAATCCCACTGTTAATATAATACCACTTATTTAAATATTTTTGCTAGTATTTTTGGTTTGGTGTGTAGTGGGGGAGTGCAGTCTCTTTAAGCATAGCACTCAGGAGCTTGAACACTTTTCAGCCAGCAGCAGCTATTGTCAGCAGAACTCACTCCTGAGCCACCAGCAGCAGCAGACAGGCTCCCCCGTTCTCTGGCCCCAGCTCAGCAGTGACCAGCTACATGGGCAAGGGGAGGGGGATACCCCAACATCAGCCTCCCCACCCCCACTCTGCACAGGAGGCTGGCTCCCAGTCAAGAGCAGCTTGGCCAGGGGCAGCTCCATGGGGTGGAGAGGTGGGAGCTGCAGTGGAGGAGGACAGCAGGAGATGGGGCACCCCTGCCCCAGAGGCATGCAGCAGCACCCCCTGAGCATGGTGCCTTGGGCAATAGCCCCCCTTGTCCAGCTGGTGGCTCCCTACCTGGCCACCACTGAGTCCCAGCTGCAGAGGTCTGCAATTAATGCTCATTAAAAAGTGTTAATTTTTGAGTTAATCACATGCATTAACTGAGATTAATTGACAGTTCTAGTAAGAACATAAGTGGCCATACTGGTCAGACCAGAATCCGTTTAGCCCAGTATCCTGTCTTTTGACAATGGCTGGTTCCAGGTGCTTCAGAGGGAGTGAACAGAACAGGGCAACTTATTGAGTGATCCATCCCCTGTGGTCTAGTACCACCTTCTACCTGTCAGAAGTTTAGGGACACCTAGAGCATGGTAAGGTTGACTGAGTCCTGGAGCTGAGAGGTGTAAAATGGATGGAGCTAGTGCTGCGCTTGAGGGTCCTGCTCTTAACAAGTAGGATGAATGTTCAGGTTGAATGTTCAGTGAGAATTTTTAGAGTTTATCTCTGGGTTTGTGTTTGTAGTCATCTGTGTGCAGGTAAGTTAGGGACAGCCGATGGGCCTCTGGCCATAGGCCTCTCAGTGATACTGATTGGAGTCTCTGTTAAAAGACCCTGTGCAAATACACTTGCCTGTGATGAGAGCATTGCTCAACCCTGCCAGGCCTATTTGCTCACTGCACTCTCCATTCTGCAACATATGGTCGGTGTTGGCTCTGAGAGGCTGGGTGTGGAACTGTTCATTGAACTTTCCCCCAGGATGTTTGCCCTTCTCAAGTAGGTGACACTACTAAAGCTAGAGATATACTAATCTTGCAGGCAGTTGTTGGATTTGTGGGGTGTGAGATTGGCTTGTCATGATAACAGACTGTTCCTTCTCCAAGCCAGTGGAACTGTGTCCATGAGTGCGCTATAAAGGCAAATCAGTTGAAGGAAAGGGCATTGGCCCTGTGCAATACTTTAAACTCTGTGTGCTGTGGAAATGCCTTGGGTTCCTTGTCCCTAGGGTGCTATTCCTATTGGCAGCAGTTGGCCTGTAGCAGTGAGGCTGCCAGCTCATGTTAGGTTTTGATAGAAGATTGTTACTGAGAACAAGTCATTGTGTTAGTTCTGTCCTCCGTTTTCACCTCCTTATTCCCTGGGCTGAGTCCAAAGTACTGGGGGTGGGGAGAAGAGTGGCTAACCCTGGCCTGTGGTGCAAAAGCTGGGCCTAGAGCTGCTCTTGTCCTGCAGTTTGACCCTTTTGAAGAGACCGTTCCAGTGTTGCTAACAGCAGTGGTTACTAGAACTTCCAGGAGAAGTGAGATTGCCCCCCCCCCCCCCCCCCCCCCAACCTGCTGGTGTTAAGTAGCACATCCCCAGACTTCTTGTCAGAGAAAGTCAAACTGACTCAGTGTTTGGCTTGGTTTGCAGTGGGGTTCCCACCTCTGGAATTGAACCAGTAATCACAATGGTGAGTGATTGTTAGAAAGTGTCCCTATATGTGCCATGGGTCCTTTTCAGTGCCTGCAGTTGCAGAAGTTAAGGATAGTGTTGCACATAACTTTAGCCTCCAATGCTGATGTCTATTGAGCTGTGCTCACTACTTCCTCCATGTGTGGGGTGAGTGGGTACAATTCATCACACCACATTCACTTCCTGGGAGGGAATTAAGAGTACAGGAGCCAGACTTCAAAACTAACTTTTTTTATTAAGACTTTTAGGTGCCTATAAAGTAATAGAACAAATCCCAGCCCAGGAAGGCAGACCTAGCCCCAAATCTTGTTTGGCAAGAGCAAAGAAGCTTTGAGGATAATGACACTACTGTTGTGCTTCCTACCAAGAAGTCAACTGCTAAGAGAAACTGCAATAAGCTTCCCCATATAGGGCATGGTGGGTTCTCTTTCGTGTCATAAATAACCAACATTCAGTTAATCCAGTAGCAGGCTGTGAGACCTGTCTACAGGGATGGAACATGAGGGATGAGTGCAGGTACCTCCCCCTATACAGCTGGCTGGGAGTCGTAAAGGGAGAGAGTAGTAAAGGGATAAATGATGTGATACTGCACAATGAAGGATGTGTCCTCAGTAAATAATATCCACCACATCAGCAGCAGGAAATGCTTAACAGTGAAAGCAGCAGTGCGCCACAAGGAGCCTAGCAGAACAATTGTCTGTTTGGTGCTAGACCACAGCAAGCATGATTTGAAAACCAGTCCCAAGAGTTACTCCACTGTTAAGTCATGACAGGATACAAGCATATGCCTTACTCTCAAAATCCAGGAAGATGGCTGGACAGACACACATACTGAAGTTCACTGGAGTTACCTCCTTTCTCTTCCCTGGATCCCAACCAACCCATTGTCCTAGAAAGGAGCAGCTCAGGGGAGGGTAGGGGTGGGAAGGATTTCTAGCCATGTCCATAAAAAGGGCTGAAGAGCCTGTTTACCTTCTAGAATGGGGGAAGATGCCAGTGTCAGGCTACAGCAAGTGGCTACCAGACAGGGAGAACGAGTCCATCTCCTATGCAGTAACTGACCCCACCCATTCTCTTACCACATAGCACTTGTTCCATTTAGGCTCTGGGGAGGTAAGTGCTACTGTGCTGTGAACAAGGTACAGGGCCTACTTTAAAGGAAACTCCAGTGGATAGTGAAGCGGGCGGAGGCAGACAGCAGCTTGGCTGTGCCTTCTGCCAGCTACTTTTTCCCTCCACCCAGCAAGCAGTAGCTGCTTCATTCGTGTTGTACAATTTTGAAGTGCATGATGGGTAGGGCAAAAGACATTCAAGACCACACTGGAAAGAAAAAGCTTGCTCTGTGCTTGGCTTAGAATCAGCACCACAGCCCCCTCATCTTGTGCTCTAATTCAGACATGACAGGTTTCAGACATGGTGCATGTATACAGACCCACACTCTTTAGCCTCACACCTCATTGTTGAGATGGACAAGAGCTGCACCCCCTAAGAATCTCCTTTAAAAGAAGCAATCACATATTGGAACAGACACTCACTCCATGGATACACGTCTAGCTAGAGAAGACACCCATCATGCCCCAGCATCCTCCATACCCCACTTCTCCATCAACCTCTGCAACGCAGTGCCTGAGTCAGAAAGTGGAGTTTAGAGTCCAGCTCCCTGTCCTGTTGCGTCCTTGACTCCATGGTGTAAACAGCAGGAAGAGGTTGGGTCCATCAGTACAAAGAACAGAGCTGGGATCTTGTGGAAGCTGAGGCTCATGGAACCAGTGGGATAGTCACACCTCTACCCGAAGCTGAAACTTGAAGGAAAATCTAGTTTCGTGTCAAATCTCCCCAATGCTGAGGAGAGCAGAGTCTTCTTGCTGTGACCCAATGAATTGCAGGGCAGAGCAGCCATTACTGGGGAGGACCCCATCAGGGACAGTGAACGGTTCTCTCCTTCTGCCTCTGGTAATCTGGAAAGGAAAAGCCAGCATTAGTGAGGCTGATAGAATAGGACAAACAGGAGAGAATGAGCTCAGGTGCTGCTATTTGACTGCAGGCATTGCTCTGTATGTAACAATGTCCTGTCAGTAGTGGGGAAACTGATGCTACTACAGTAAGGGTGACAGGTCTAAGGTCCAGCCTGAATACAACACTCACTGGACTCCTCTCTAGCAGTTGATTTTAATGAGATGGCATGTTTGTTGGCAGCTTAGCCACTTCATTCCTAAATTCCTCCAGCACTCTTGAAAGTAGAGCTAAATCTAGGGATTTGGTGTCCCTTAATTTGTCAACTTGTTCTAGCACTTCCTTTGACACTCCAGTCCAGACACCTGATCTTAACTAAGGTGAGGCACTATCTCACACCACCTTAGAATCATAGAATATCAGGGTTAGAAGGGTTTCAGAGTAACAGCCATGTTAGTCTGTATTCGCAAAAAGAAAAGGAGTACTTGTGGCACCTTAGAGACTAACAATTTATTTGAGCATAAGCTTTTATGAGCTACAGCTCACTTCATCGGATGCATACTGTGGAAAATACAGAAGATGTTTGTTTTTATACACACAAATCATGAAAAAATGGGTGTTTATCACTACAAAAGGTTTTCTCTCCCCCCACCCCAGTCTCCTGCTGGTAATAGCTTATGTAAAGTGATCACTCTCCTTACAATGTGTATGATAATCAAGGTGGGCCATTAGAAGGGACCTCAGGAGGTCATCTAGTCCCAAAGCAGGACCAATCCCCAATTCGGTCTTCATGGTGGAAGGTTTATGTAAAGAAATCACTTAGCTTCACTGCAGTATCCTCATCCTCTTTAGCTACTCCTTTGATTTCCTGATAGAATTGTTGGGTCCAACACACACTCTCAGGCATCCTACATCTCAGATTTAAAAAATGTCTTTCTGGTTGTGTCTCTGGCTATTTGCTCTAATTTCCATCCAATAACTGCCATAGTTTGCATCTCTCTGATGGCCTCATTAGGGTTGGATTTCCATTTTCTGAAGGATACTTTTTGGCTCAAATAACCTCTTGAACTTGTCATTTTACCACCTGGGTTTTTTCTTGCATCTTTGCACCTTGGTTGCTTAGCATGCAGTGTCCTAAGGCTTTAAAATTTGCTCATGTTGGTCAGTCTCCTTTTTAAAAAAATCTCCATTCTAAAGAGCCAGCACTATTTGGAATCTTTCCTCCCTTGAGAAAGTTTAAGTGTGTCCACTGTTAAAGTTATTCAAATTATACCTAGTGAACCAATTCCTGACTTAAGTCTAAAATTGCTGCTTGTGTGCTCTAGAACTACTGTTCCAAGACCCTGTTTAAGCTGGTCAGTTTGTTTAAACTTTGTCTTGCTAGGATGTGACCAGTTTATATGCAGGTGCTTGATGTCACTCTTATTGTATTTGACGAGTGTAAAATCTTGATCAAAGCCACAATAGTTTCTGATCAGGAGCCTGCTAGTCTAACCCTATGTTTGACTCTAGATTTTTAGTATTTGTCTAGCTGGAGTCAGCACAGTCTCTTGCTAGGATGCAAGGCATCAGGCTTCACAATCAGCATTTCAGAAGCAGCTAACAGGCACTTACTGTAGGGGAAGTAACGCACTCGCATGATTATCTCACGGGCAGTCTTCAAGATCTCGACAGCCTGGAAGCAGCAGCAAGGGAGTCAGTAAGTTAACAGATTGGGCTGGCAGAAATTAGTTTAAAGGGGCCTGCCCCAATGCCACCCTTCAAACCCAGCTGGAGGTTCCAACCCCCAGTATACAACTTGCACTGATTACTGCTGCTGCTCCTCTAAGTGCAATGCTTTAACATTCAATCAACTCTTATGGGTCAGGCCTAAACCATGACACACTAAGGAAGGTATAGTGGGCTTCCCTACCCATCCTGTATTAGACTTGTGATGACCAATTCTGTGCTTTTTCCCATTTAGGGTTGCTTACTTCTTTAAATCAAGAATGAGCTCTTACCGAATGATCCTTGTCTGTGAGATTCTTCTATTTTATAGGTGGAGATGGGAGCTATGAGTCAGGAATAGAACTAGGAATAGAGGTCTAAGAGCTTGCCTCCTAGACTTGCTCTACCTAGTGGACAAAGCTGTAAAGTAAATGCCACACGGTAGGTGAGTCCAGGCTGGGGTGATGCTGTGAGGGGGCAGGATCAGCTCCCCTCACTGCATGTCTCCTCCCTCAGTTCCCTTAAACCCCTGTCTCTCTATCAATCTCAGATTGTACAAGCAGTATATGATCCCCTTAGCAGCAGCCAGGGAAGTTCTCACCTTGCTGTGCTCAATGTCCTGGAAATCTACATCGTTAACGGCCAGGACCTGGTCTCCCTCCTGAAGCCCTGCTCTGTGTGCATCTGAGTCAGGGATCACCTGAAAATGGAAGAGAAGAGAGCCATGTCAGTCAAACCAACATATCAGATTATGCAGAGCCACCAGTCCACAGTTCTCTCCCCAGCCAGATCAGGTCAGACCCTCAGAGCTCTGTAGTACCAGTCAGCCTCTATATTTCCCCTTCATGTTGTCCACCTCTGCTCCACTCAGAAAACAGCAGGGTATGGAGTTGGGTCAGAACGAAGGTTCATTAGAGCTACAGGCCAGGTTGTCCCCAGCTGCTGATCCTTTGGCAGTTCACAGCAATGGGTTCTGGAGCTCCATGCAGTGTTTGAGTTAGCCCCAAATAGGTAAACTCTCTGCTAGTTTAGCTTGTCCAAAAAAATTACTAAATCAGCTAGATAAAGCGGCAGAGAGAATGGCAAAGGGACTGATATACCTTGGAGATGAAGATTCCCAGCTGGGAGGCCTTTCCTCCTCGAATGTTGAAGCCCAGCTGTGAGAAGAAAATAGGATTTATAGTTAAGTGGAATGTGAACTACTGCCAGTTACTGGGACTTCTGCTCCAGTGGCAGCAGAGGAAGGCCTTCAGAACCTGCAGCTGTTACCCATGGGGTCAGACAACACCCTGAAGCGTTCAGGGTCTCTATTGGTACCTTTATGGCAACCCTTGCACCCCTGTGAAACATCATCCCCATTTTACAGCAAGGAGTGGAGGTAGAGGTCAGTGGCCCCGTTGGGAAGTTAACACCAAGCTTTTCTCAGTCCCAACCCTGTGCTCCAACCACAAGACATCCACTGCTTGGGCAGGATAAGTGTCAGTCATCACCCAAGAACAGGGCCAGCAGAACTCTCATGCCCTGGCCCCCCAATTTCTAGGGGCAGTTTCAGTTTATTATCTAGGAAACATTTTAACAAGTGATAAAAGCAGGAGAGGGAGTCACCTGGTAGCAGGAGCCCCATTCCCAGGGACAGCAGGTTTGTATAATTTTTGGTGATGCCCAGAACGGGTTCAAGTCCCCCTGTTCCCCTCCCCACAAACTGTCTACAGTTCTGGGAGGGAATTTCGGCACTGGGTGCGGGCTCTAAGCTGGGGGTGCAACACTTACCTCAGGTGGCTCCCAAAAGCAACCCACACACTCCTGTGGTAGCAGCTCCTAGGTAGCGGGGCAGGAGTCTCCTCATGCTGCTGCCTGCAGGCACCACCCCTGCAGTTCCCATTGGCCACAGTTCCAATGGCAGAGTTGGAGCAGAGGCAGCGCGCAGAGACAGCCCCCACTCCCCAGGCTGGGCCAGCTGCTTCCAGGAGTGGTGCGCTGCACCGAGCAAGGGCAGACAGGAAGCTGCTTTAGTCTTGCTGCGCTGCTGCTGGCGGTGGCAGGGGCCCTTTTAAATCACTTAGGGGCGGCAGTGGGGCCTGGGAGATGCTCTGGTGGAGGTGTGCAGGAGAAGCCAGGGGAGAGACCAGGCCATGAACATTGGTGGAGCCAACCCCCCATGCTCTGAATATTCCTGGAGCACGGGCACCATGGGCCCATACAACTCACCACCCCTGCCTCCAAAATGTCTTCCTAAGCATATGCAGAAGAATGATATCCTTCTCAGAGTATGGTGTAGGGTTACCTCCTCCCTCCAACATCTATGTGGACTGGTCTCCAAGCAGGATTTTTGGAATGAGACTGTGATTGTTGCAGGACAAGGGGGTGGAGAGGTGAACCTGAACTATCCCCTTCACTGCTAATAGATTCCCTAGGAAGTGGTAGATGAAGACAGAATGTGTGTGTGACCCATACCTCCCCTCCCTTGAGGCTACCGGACAGTCACACCATGGTGCATTTTGTGCCTTAGAGCCCTGGAGCAAAGCAAACCTGCCACAGCAAAACAAGAACATACTAAAGTAGCAGACTGCACACACTGATGCCAGGCCTCAACCAGCAGGCAACCCTATCTGGGCCTGTAGAAAAGGCTAGGGCTGTGCCCTGAGAGTTCTCACCTGAGCCCCAGGAGGCTTCTTCAGCACAATAGTGCGAGGCAGGTACTGGGTCAACTCATTATTGTAGTCAGGGTGGTAAACTCTCTGCAAAATACAACAGCCACTGTAAGAGACCTGAAAGCAGCAGGGAACATAATCCCCTAAAGGGGCTTTCTGCACCCTAGACAGGAATTCCATGCTATCGCTGCTCAAGATGCACTTTGTGATACCTATGGTATACTGCCAAGTAAAAGTGGTGTGGCTGGTGGCCAGCAGGGATTCCTCATGTCATTGACATCAAGTGCTTATATACAGCTGTAGGAGATCCATTGCAAAGCCAGCTTACACACAGCAAGGCTACATTATCATCACCCTTCCCTTCCCCCCCCAAAATGCACACCATCATTTGCTTGTTACCCCCACTTGGGTTATGCATGCTTTTCCAGGAAAGGTCTGTCTCATCCTAGGTTTTTGTGCAGCATCCAACACAATGGAGACCTGACTCTGACAGAACGGGGTGGGCAAACTTTTTGGCCCGAGGGCCACATGCCAGTTGCAAAACTGTATGGAGGGCCGGGTAGGGAAGGCTGTGCCTCCCCAAACAGTCTGGCCCCCACCCCCTGAATGCCCCCCTCAGAACCTCCACCCCATCCAACCACTCCCTGTCCCCTGACTGCCCCCAGGACCCTTTGCCCCTTATCCAACCCCACCCCCACCCCCGCTCCCCACCCCCTTACCATGCCGCTCAGAGCAGCAGGAGCTCACAGCCACGCCGCTGCGCTGCCCAGCAGGAGTGTTGGGCCAGAGCACTGACTGCGCAGCTGTGGGGGAGGGGGAACAGCAGGGGAGGGGACAGCCTCCCTGGCTGGGAGCTCAAGGACCGGGCAGGACGGCCCTGTGGGCCATAGTTTGCCCACCTCTGTGATGTAACGTGGTAGCACATGCACGCTCTAAGTACTGTAACAGCCTTTTTCCATCGTGAACAAGCAAGGATCTCTGCTGTCAGATGCAGGCTGTGAGGGGAGGGCAGTGCCAGGCAGAACTCAGCATCAACCTGGATTGTATCACATGTTAAACCACTATATATCAATATTAAAGGATGTGTTGAAGGAGGGGGTTAGACCCTGATTCTTCAGGGCTTTGGCTGGGCCCTAAGCAGACCACATATCTTCTCAGCCAGTTCCTTATAAAAGGCACCATCCCTACCCCAAAAGTTAGGCTTTCTGGTCCACCCAAGAAACCCAAAGACCCAGCTGTTTAACTCAGAGGGCGAGGGCCAAATAAAGTTGTAACCTCAGCATCTCCTTTAATGGGCACAACAAAACTTTGTTCGATATGGCACAATTACTGTAGATCAGTGTGTCTAGATGGGGGACCTGGGAGGACGTGGTTTCTTTTTCATCTAAAACACCTTGGCACAGCATCACTTCCTACACTCTGAAATGTTTGGTTCTTAATTGGCCCAGTAGTCAGGAAATGCTTTAGTCAAGTTTGGAAGAAATGGCTATGGGTGGAACAGGTTCCTTGCATTAGTCAAGGAGGCTGGGTGTGGTAGCCCCAAGCAAGGCAGAGGACTGCCATTTTTACTCAAGGGATGCTCCTGTGATAGCCAGAGCAGGTCAGAAATCCATGCAAATCCACCCAAACAAGCCCCACCAGCTGCTGCAATTAGGAACTTCATGGTAATAAAGGGGGACTGCAACCACTATATTAAAACAGAAGGGAAGAGGACACCAGGCACACATAGAGGAGCAAGTTTCAAAAGATTATTGGAAGAGTTAAAATGTATCCTTTTAAAAGATTTTTTTCTGTCATTAATTATGCCTGAGGTAACCAGTAAAAATAAACTTTATGATCTTGTTTACTTTTTATGCTTCTTGTTATTTGGATGGAAAGATTAGATTAGGAAGTTTGTGGTTCTAGTGAATTTTGCTTTAGAGTTCTCCTGTACTCAATACTGTGAACATTGCAAACCAAGATTTAAAACAAAACATGACTTTCACTAAATATTTTATTTCATGGAAGGTTCTAGCAACATCAAGTTATGGCTTGTAAGGTAAGTGCTAGTTCAGCTTTCTGATTTATTGGAGGTTTAGCTCTTATTTAGGCCCCTGTCCTGCAATGAGTATGCCTAGATCTCTGTACTAATATGAGCCTCCATTGTTTTTAATTGAGTTCCATGCAGAAGTCCATCTGCTATTGTAGGATGAGGACTTTGAATTACATGCTCCTGGGGCAGAGCACTTGTGGCCTTAGCCATCCGTAAGGCAGAGCAAGTTGTTGGTGTAAAACGAAGCAATATTTGACAAAAAATAGTTGATGCTTACCTTTAAAAAAAGGTTACAGCCAATTCTAACAGCTACTTTCCATCCAATCTGCCCAACCTGACAAAGGTTTAGTAAATGCTTAGCTAATTTTAAGAGAATCACTGGCACCACCTACAGCTGTAAAGGTTTAGAAGAGATTTCGGAAGACTGCCCCATGGTTAAGCCACGGCAGCTCGCCCAGCACCGAGCTCGCAGAGGAACCATTATTCCAGTTCGAGCCCAGCGGAAATACTGCCTCGCTTGTAACGAGTGTCCCCGGGGCCCAGCAGCCCGTTTTTCAGAGCGCTGGGAGCCAAGCACTGACCTCGTGAGGAGGGATCCAGGCCGGCGGGTTCTCATAGGCCGGCAGGAAGACGACAGGATAATCGTCATAGGGGATCCTGCTGTCCATCGCGGGAGCGGCTCTGCAGGGAGAAAGCGCGGCGTCCCGTGAGTGGCTGGACCGCTGAACCCCGAAGCCACCCCTACCCCACGGCCAACCCGCGGCGCTTCCAGCTACGGCGGGGCGAGAGCAGGCTCCTGGCTGCCCCCCGCGCACATCCCGGCCTTAGTCTCAGCCGATGGGGCGCAGCCCGCCGCACCGATGGCGGAGAAGCCCCCTCCAACACCCCGCAGGCCCGCCAGAGGGAGCCCGCCCCTGTACCCCCCTCACCGTCCAGTTTCCTCGCCCCGCACCCCCAGCACGATCATGTGACCGTGACCCACAAAGATCACGTGACGAAGCGCGAGTCGATGACGCTGTCCCTCGGTGCTGCCCCTGGTTACATGTAGGAGCGCGTCTCTTCCCGTACGTGGTGACGTATCGCGTCGTGGCTCTGCCATTGGCGGGCGGGGCGGGTTTGAATGTTGGCGGTTAAAGCTCCAGGACAAGGGGAAGGGTTACTAAGTGGTGGCCGAAGGCTCAGGCAGGCGGCGGTTCCTTTCCGCACCAGCTTCCCGCGGCCCTGCTGACTCGGGGCGCCGGGCGTGGGCTGCTGGCGCCTGGTCGTTGTCACGGGGCCTCCGCGAGGGCAGGTATCTCTCCCGCGAACGGCCCGGGAGCTCTGCGGCCCGGCCCAGGGCCGGCTTGTTCTCCGGAGCCGCTCAGGCCCGCGGGTGGCGGGATCCGAGCTCTCCCGGTGTTGGCTCGCTCGGGGGCCTGGGCTGCCACCACGGCGTCCCCGTGACCCTCTGAGCGCGGGGCGGGCGGAGCTGGGCAGGGCCTCCCGGTGCAGAGCTCGGCCGTGTCCCCCGCTGGCTTCCCCACGGGGCCTCGCCTCAGCCCCTCGGAGTCAGAGAAACGGGGGTACAGCTAGGAGCAGCGTCCGCCGCCCCGGCTTGGCTGAGCCGCCGCCGCCCCCCCCCCCCCCCCGGCAGGAGCGGAACAGTCTCCGTGCTGGGAGGCCCCTGCAAGCACCACGGGCCGCTCGCCGTCGCCTCCCGCCCTTGTTCCGCGCTACCCGGCTTGAGGCAATGGAGCCCCGTGCCGCGCCCCCAGGCGCTAGAGCTGCCTGAGTCAGCCCAAGCCTGGGATTGTCATAGAATATCAGGGTTGGAAGGGACCTTAGGAGATCATGTAGTCCAACCCCCTGCTCAAAGCAGGACCAATCCCCAATTTTTGCCCCAGATCCCTAAATGGCCCCCTCAAGGATTGAACTCACAACTCTGGGTTTCACAGGCCAATGCACAAACCACTGAGCTATCCCTCCCTTTGTTGGCTTCCCTCCAATGAGCGTTTTATGAATGGTTTTGAGCTTTCTTCCTGGTCAGTTTGTCACAATTTCTCTGTGGGAAGCTTTGGGGCAGGCAGTGCCATGTCTGTTGATGGTGTGGCATGATGATGCTCTCTTACAGAAGGGGCTCTGTTACTATGGTGACTGGACACAGAACGGGTGCAAGACACTGAGGCTCAGGGAAGTGAAGGTTGTACAGCACATCAGCATCATTCTGGGAATAGGGAGGCGAAAAGCTGCTCATATCTCTCCAGAGCCTCAGGTGACAAAAATCCTTCTTTCTTCCTGTTAAAACTGATATTTTTATCAGCTGTACTATTTTTTCCTAACAAACAAAAACCTCCTTTCCAACTAAATAGCAAGGGGTGGGGGTTACATTTTTGGGATCCAGGACAATAGCATCTGCTGCAGACACCTACTAGCAGAATATTGATGAGAGATTGCAGCAAAGTCTACAGCAATCCTTGACCAGAAGTGTAGCCACCACCTGCTACTGAGGAGAGAGAACTGGGTCTTTACTACTCCACATATTCCCAGCTTTAGTGTTTTTGGTCTTTCTGTTGCTGTTCATCCTTTTCCCAAGCATTGAAGCACTTGGAGGAGAGGAAGGTGATCAGGAACAGTCAACATGGATTCACCAAGGGCAAGTCATGCCTGACCAACCTGATTGCCTTCTATGATGAGATAACTGGCTCTGTGGATATGGGGAGAGTGGTGAATGTGATATATCTTGACTTTAGCAAAGCTTTTGACACCGTCTCCCACAGTATTCTTGCCAGCAAGTTAAAAAAGTGGATTGGATGAATACACTATAAGGTGGATAGGAAGCTGGCTAGATTGTCAGGCACAATGGGTAGTGATCAACGGCTCAATGTGTAGTTGGCAGCCGGTATCAAGTGGAGTGCCCCAGGGGTCAGTCCTGGGGCCGGTTTTGTTCAATATCTTTATCGATGATCTGGATGATGGGTTGAATTGCACCCTCGGCAAGTTTGCAGATGACACTGAGATGGGGGGAGAGGTAGATACGCTGGTGGGTAGGGATAGGGTCCAGAGTGACCTAGACAAATTGGAGGATTGGGCCAAAAGAAATCTGATGAAGTTCAACAAAGACAAGTGCAGAGTCCTGCATTTAGGAAGGAAGAATCCCATGCACCGCTACTGGCTGGGGACCGACTGGCTAAGCAACAGTCCTGCAGAAAAGGACCTGGGGGTTACAGTGGACAAGAAGCTGGATATGAGTCAGCAGTGTGTCCTCGTTGCTAAGAAGGCCGACGGCATATTGGGCTAGTTTAGTAGGATCATTGCCAGCAGATCAAGGGAAGTGATTATTCCGCTCTATTCGGCACTGGTGAGGCCACACCTGGAGTACTGCATCCAGTTTTGGTCCCTCCGCGCTACAGAAGGGATGTGGACAAATTGGAGAGAGTCCAGCAGAGGGCAACAAAAATGATTCAGGGGCTGGGGCACAAGACTTACAAGGAGAGACTGAGGGAACTGGGGTTATTTAGCATGCAGAAGGGTGAGGGGGGGATTTGATAGCAGCTTTCAACTACCTGAAGGGGGGGTTCCAAAGAGGATGGAGCTAGGTTGTTCTCAGTGCTGGCAGATGACAGAACAAGAAGCAATGATCTCAAGTTGCAGTGGAGGAGGTCTAGGTTGGATATTAGGAAACACTATTTCACTAGGAGGGTGGTAAAGCACTGGAATGGGTTACCTAGGGAGGTGGTGGAATCTCCATCCTTAGAGGTTTTTAAGGCCCAGCTTGACAAAGCCTTGGCTGGGCTGATTTAGTTGGTGTCGGTCCTGCTTTGAGCAGGGGTTTGTACTAGATGACCTCCTGAGGTCTCTTCCAACCGTAATATTCTATGATTGTCAGAGTGAAATTACCTGATTCTGGTTAGTTTAAAGGCTAGCCCTGAAATTCTGAGTTGCAGTCATAAAACCAATCAAGTTGTCATTAGTTACTTTGGTCCTTGGAAAAGCTTTGAGCAGTAGAGGCTTTGGAGGTATGTTTATGTGCTTGGGTAGGTGATGCTGCTTCAGGTCTGATTATCATACACATTGTAAGGAGAGTGATCACTTTAGATAAGCTATTACCAGCAGGAGAGTGGGGTGGGAGGAGGTATTTTTTTCATGCTTTGTGTGTATATAAAAAGATCTTCTACACTTTCCACAGTATGCATCCGATGAAGTGAGCTGTAGCTCACGAAAGCTTATGCTCAAATAAATTGGTTAGTCTCTAAGGTGCCACAAGTACTCCTTTTCTTTTTGCAAATACAGACTAACATGGCTGTTACTCTGAAACCTGCTTCAGGTCACTTACAGCAGGCTTTCTTTACAATTCTGAAGGCTTGCCTACATTACAGGTTATGTCAGCATTATGCTGACCTAAGCATTGGTGTGGACAGCACAACATTGCTACCACCTCTCATGGAGGTGGTTTTATTATGCTGATGGGAGAGCTCCCTTCTGTCAGCATAGAGTGTCTTCACCAGATGCACTACGCCACTTCATTGCTTCTCGTGTAAATGAGCTCCAAGTGTCCTAAGATCTAATTTTGAAGTGAAATGTTAAATTATTCAGAAACTGCTAGCTTAGGGTTTCTCACTCTATCTGGGTAATCTTTCTTTGTGCAGTGAATGTGATATAATGGAATCATAGACTCTTTCCAACTTATGCCAGTTGTAAACAAACACCAGTGCAGACTGTGTGGAAGCTGAATGTGTCTTAATGCCCAGAGTGGCTGTCAAGCCTGATAAAGGAAATCCAGCTGATGATACTTACAGTGAGACACACTTAACTCTATGTCTTTGGTTTTTTTAGGGAAGCTATTGTAATCTGAAATGGTGAAAGAGGATGAGAAAGTGATTCCTGTGCGTGTGGTACTCCGCTGCCGCCCCTTGGTCCCCAAAGAGATCAGTGAGGGATGCCAGATGTGTCTATCCTTTGTGCCTGAGGAACCACAGGTAAGTAAATGATGTCTTGACTATGAAGGGTCAAAATCTTTCACTTGCTAGAATCACTCTATTGACGTCAGTGGTATTTCTGTAGACTCGCACCATTGTAAATGACCTGAATTTAGTATCGAGTAAATGAACCCATAAACTGCAGTGTATGTGTCACTACCTGCTTTCTCATCTTTCCCACAGGTGATTGTAGGCAATGATAAATCCTTCACATACGATTTTGTGTTTGACCCATCTGCTGAGCAGGAGGAAGTTTTCAATAGATCTGTTGCCCCTCTGATACGGGGCATCTTCAAAGGTGAGAGCCTGTTGGATTGTTCATAGTAACTAAGTGAAATCTCTTTTTAAAAATGCTGTCAGTTGTGGTCAGGGTGGCATTCCAAAGTCAAGTGAAACAGGAAAAGATCCTGTCAAGCCAGGAAAGATCACTTGGTTATCCACTCCGATTTCCCTCACCCACCATACCTTTCCATGTTAATAAAATGCTTTTCTGATTAGAAATCAATCCCAGGCTGAAGTGGTGAGTGCTAAATACTGCCTATTTGCTGCTAGCGTGGTATTCCACTGGGCCACCAAGATGAGTTGTGCAATCTCACTGGGCTTCACGGAAAGCAAAAATGGATGGACTGACTTAAAACACCAGGATTATGTTAAGATCCTTTATGATTGTTTGTTTGATCTGCAGTCCGACACTTGAATGTTATATGCTTCAACTTTGAGACTAAGATGTTGTGGGGAGGGGAAGGTTGACAGAGCAGTTAAAAAATTGTTTCTGGCATCTTTAGTCAGAACCATAAAATTAGGCTTATTTAATAAATCTCACCTCATACTTCATAGTCCAGATAAGGCACCTGGTTCTGTTCAGCTTTTTGTTCTTGACTTAGCAGACTATGAATTGTGCATTTATGCTGTGTAAACTGAATGGGTGAGTGGCAATGCTTCTCTGAATTGGAGATTCTAGCTTCTGAGGACACTTCACACGGAAGCATACTAGGATGCTCCAATCTGACAAGGTCTCTTCTTAGATGATCCCATCCTCCTCCTGATTCCAGGCATTCTCTACTTCTTCAGGGTATAATGCT